TCAAAGAAGCGCCTGTCGTTGTAAATTGATTGTTCGAATATTTTTAGGACGCCGGAGACAAATGTTTAGTTAAACAGTAATATAGTGTGATGAACAGATTAGACATTACCAAAAAGTGATATAACGACATTATATGAGTACAAAGGACGGAATGAAATTGGATGTTTTGTTTTAATCAACATTAGTAATACATTTTTAAATGTATATTTACAGATTTTTAATTAATATCATCATCAGTTTTTCTATACACCGCTGAGTAAAGAACGGCCCATGTATTTACTACCAGCAACACATTTGAGGTTGCCACTTCATCTAGTGGGAGATCGTAATGCACTACGTTTGCAACTAAGTGGCGCCATTCAAAAACAGTTCACATATGACGTTGTATCTTTCCTTTGTTCTTGTCGATTAACAACAGTTTCAACAGACTGAAGACTACACTAGACACTGAACTCAGGACATCGACTCAATGCAACTTTATTTACAAGTAAATTACAATGCCATTAGCTTACCCTCGACTTGATGGTGTAAGGGACAATTAACGCGCCACAATAGTGAGCTCGTATTGTTGAACTATCGCGCTAGAAACAGTTGTTACAGCCGGCTGAAAGAACTGCCAACTCATGAAACAATGCCCGGACCAATTGTTTTACTAGCCGACCGCTTTTTGTCATCATGTAGGAAATATAGAGATGGTCCAATAGGAAACGGCGCGTGAAAACACTTTTTTTTTATCTAATTCCTTACGAAGTAAAAGATATTATATAATATATTTATTTATAGCCGTTAATAATAATGGATGGTAATGGAATGGTAATACCGCATGTGCTAACGGTATACGCTGGTAGGGCACCAGGGAGGGACGATAGATGAATATGAAGCAGGTTAGTTGGCCTACCGTGACGAATTCAATAATAAATCAATCACGATGACAGGGGGATCCGTGAGGAGGTCGACCTGATAGGTCGTTGCTAGCAATAGTGCATATAAATCCCATTGATAACAACCCCTTTTCCCCTATTTATATCCGTGTAGGTCCCTTCCTTCTTTAGGTCCTGCTTTCTTTTTCTGTGGGTGTTGTAAGAGGCAAATAAGGAAGCTTATGGTCGAGGTATAGGCAACAACGGCCCTCTTAAAACATCGCCAAAGCCCAACTGCGGTTGCCAACCCGCCTGCCAAGCGTGGCAACTACTGGCAAACCCCTTTTTATGAGGAGACAGTTAGCGGCTGATACAAATATTTATTTCTGTAGCACAGGTTTTAACCTATTTTAGACACCAGCTCCTCACAGCAGAGTTCTGTATTCATTTAATTAAATTTTTATCCTAAGTACCACATGTGTAAATCTAAGTTATTTGTGAGAAAACATAAATAAATACATTGTTATTATTTAATCGTTAAAAATCTATTCAGGTATCTTACTTGTAAATATACTTATTCTTAACTTACCGTCAAATAGTGGAGAGTAGAAAAAAATCGATATAGTTATTACAAATCTGTAGAGGTCGAATGAGTGTACATAGAAAAAAAAACGCTAAAAACTAAGTTAGGGGATGTTAGATATTTATATTTTTTTTTGTTTTATCGTTTGTCTGCTTATCTGTTTGTCTGTTTGAACGGGCTAATCTCCGAAACTGTTTGACCGATTAAAATGAAATTTTGTATGATGATACTCTAAATTCTCGGTTAATATTTCAGATATTTTGTACACGAAAAATTAAAAAGTTCCCATGGGATAGTTAAAAAAATACAGTAACTTGTACAGCTTTTTACACAACCTACTTAAGTAAAGTCATTTTGACTTAAGGCAAAGAGTGAGAACGACACGTATTTTTTTAATTTTGGTCTAATATTCCCAGACAATAAATAGGTACATACGTCGATACATACTAAACAGGAATAACAAATACCACGCGGAAAAAGTCGCAAGTATCAGCTAGTCTACAATAAATACTATTTATAGTAAACTTTTTGTAGTTGTTTTTTGTATTTTTTTTGTAATTGTTTTCTGTAACAATTTGAATTGTCATGTATTCTGAGTATGATAAAATAATACAAGTATGTATTATGTCCTCAGGAATGACAGTGTATGAGGGGTATCATGGGCGACATAATATGCTCTGTTATATCCATGGTATAATAATAATAATTGTGTCTATCGACAGTTATAACTTTTCATCAGATGGACAAGTTGCAAAAAAATAAATGTCAATCAACAGTGTAAGATATAGTGCAAACTTGAAACAACCAAGCCCCCTAGCCGGAGTGGCGATGGTAAATAATATTTTCCTATTATTACACAATATAATAAATACTTGAATGATATGAATTTGCTTTCATTTCCTCGAGTATTCCATTAAACGTTATTCATTCATATCATCTCAAATCATGGTCACAAATGGGCCTTTCGAATCAACTTTCACTCTTCTGAATGGTGTTAATTTTCTTCTGAATTGGCAACACCCGAGTGTGAGTCAATAGAAGATTCGGTCGACATCGGAGTACAAAATTGTATATGGTAAATGTGGAAAACATAAATGGAGGCTGCAAAAAGCGACGAAAGGAGGGTGATTTTCTAAAGGTTTCAGCTGGTTTCAATAGGCCACTGTTTAACATTGCTCATTGAGCGATATTTTCTGTTTCCTTTTGAAAATACGAGCCTTCTTATACAAATAGGCCCTCTTGTGAAAGGGCAAAGGAAACTTTTAAACATCTTCACTTGAAACTCGGTTTTGTTCTATGATCTGAAAGGACGAAGTCTTACTATTGAGTTTAGATTTAGTTTAAAATAAAGAGGAAAAAAAACGAAGAAAATTGCGTAAGGTTTTCAATTGTCACATTGAAGTAAGACTATGAACTTGTACATTGTGCGGTTTTTCTTTGAATTATAAGTTTTACGTTTCGAGTTTATAGCGAACTTGTCTTTGTTTAGTGAAAAGTTTTTACAGGCAGATAAAAATCAGCAGTTTTAATTCATGTCATACATTATTATATATTTTGTCCATCAACAATAACACGTAACAAAACATACAAATAGTTACTGCAGTTTTAAACCGTTTCTCTCAATAGTTATAGAACTTGAAGTCTCAAATACCTATCATAGAATACATATCGCAGTTAGTTTTGTCGACTTGATGTTTTTGAGGATCAGAGAGACGAACTTAGGATATCACGCCAAGGTCACTCAGTTCACAAAAGTCCTGCAGTCCAAGCTCATACGTGCCACCATCACAACCAATACTCGAATCCGGGCTTGAAAGGTTTTTACTGGCATTTTCGTTCTTCAGATTGTAGCTTTCGTCATATATTTATTATATTAATTTTACCAGAGGGAGACTTTTGTGCAGTGAAGCAGTTGTATTTGTATGGCTGTGTTTCGGTTTGAAGGGTAGGATATAGCGTGAAGTTACTGGGTACAGAGGAACAACACCTTAGTCCTCAGGAATGGCAACGCATGGGGGGTATCATGGACGAAACAGTATACTCTGTTATGTCCATAGTACTGCTCATGTCTATAGGCGACGGTTACCATTCTCCATCAGGTGGGCCGTCAGCTTGTTCGCCATTCTAAGTTGTATAAAAAAAAATTTAGTTTATTGAATAATGATATTATTAGACTTATTTTACAAACTGATATCGAAATAAGTATGTAATTTTGTAATAAAGTGTAATTTTATTGTCCTGGCTCTTATTAATTTTGCACTCGTAAGATATTTCTTTTTAATGGATGATAATGGAATGGTAACCCCACGCGCGCTATCGGTATACACCAGCGGGGCACCAGTGAAGGATAATAGGTGAGGATGAAGTAGGTCAGTTAGCCCATCGTGACGAATTCAACAAGAATTGTTCACGATGGTTTCCAGGGGGAACCACGTGGAGGTCGACCTAATAGGGCATATTGCTAGCAATGAGGCTGTCAAACTCCATTGCTAACAATCCCTTTCCCCCCCTCGTAAGATATTAAGCCAACCTTAAAATTTTCCTCTTTAGATCGCTGCAATTCTAGTTCAATCACATTTCTTTATACAAGAGTTCTTTATAATATTAAAAAGATATACTTTCGAGCTATCGTTAAGGACAAAGTTTTAGTTATTTTTTTTCTAATAATGCACATATATTTTATGTAATTTCGAATGGCAAAGAAGGTGACGGCTCTCTTGATAAAAAGTTATAATCGCGGCCTATCGACATGAATAGCAGTATAGATATCAGAGGATGTACACTGTGAATTCCATGGTACCCCTTACGTCTTGCCATTCCTCAAATGTAAGATGTTATGCCCGCTAATTTTATTCGCAAATCCCACACTTTAAAAAAGATCACTATAAAATACCGAAGCGACGATTTTTTGGACTATCTACCTCTTAAAATTGTCTTTTGCATCATATGTGCGGAATATTAATAAAAATGGCCGTGTGGTCCCGGCATAGTATAGGCCACCTCTTCATTTCCCGTGGGTGTTGTAAGAGCAAACTAAGAGTTGGTGGGAAGTAGCGTCCCTTTTAAAACATCTCTAAAGCTTGACTGCGGTTGCCAATCCGCCTGCCAAGCGTGACAACTACGGACAAAACCCCGAAGGGGAGGCTTATGTTCAGCAGTGGACAGTTAAAGGCTGATGTAACGATTAATAAAAATATTTTAACAAGAAGTGTACAAGTATCTAAGCAGAGATACAAAATAGCACCCTGTTTTGTTCTATAGTCTACACTGTATAAAGAAGATACCAGGTGCATGTATATATATTTGTATGTTAGGCAATATCTTTGCCAATTCTTAACTGATTTTGATTATTCTTCTTGCAATCAATAGCGTTAACTCGTGTTTGACGCGTATTAATGTTGCCGTGTTTTAAACTACAATAGATAGTTATTGTTTTTTTAATGGAGCGACTCAGCTTGTGTTTCTATCAAGAACAAATTTTTCATTATGATGTCTTTTGTCATGTTTTTTGTTTTATTATTTCGAAAATGATGTTTTAAATACATCCTCGGTTACAGGTACCTACTGTGACATTGGGCTCTTCAGGATGTGGGTAAGTAGCTAATTTATTATTTACTCTGCATTGGGAATGGAATTCTAGTTAGGATTCCATTAATACATACAAATATTATTATAAACAAATAAGATTCTCGTATGAGTACTTTATTGTTCAGTCTATCTAACTTTCAAATTCATGCATCCATTATAGTCTAATGCAGGAACAAGACATCTTTACGATCATAATTATAATATTTAATTAGATTATATTATTCATATTTCATGCCCGTACCGAGGCGGATATATAATAAAGTATCCATATAACTATATTGCTTAGATATCAATTATATAACTTGGTACTTATTCAAAATGATTTTACCATAATTTTAAAAAAATGTTAAAGGTACGTCAGAGTCACCCGGCTGGCACTATGATTTACCAACTTTTTTTAATAAAATAAATACTCGTTGATGTTAAACAAGAATGGTTTTGATATGATTAGTAGATACACCTATCATTTTGTAATATCCTTAGTCTATTTTTTCTCAAACTTTTTTCTCGCGACCCACGAAAAAGCCCAAAACCCCATCACTAACAAATAATATAAAATATTTTTTGATATTTATATCTTTAATAACGAATTTATATTATTTTCATTTATTAACAAACGCAACCCACTCAAGAGTCGGGACCCCCCTATTGAGAAACGATACCTTAGCCTATACGATAAACATAGTAGGTAAGTTCATTAAATTCCCTTTACACAGTATCGTATATATTGTGTATGAATTTTTGTAAATAACTAAAATATGTCACTGATTAAGGCCACGAGAAATATACCGCTTCCGCCGCGCTTATGAATTTCAATAGCGATGAAAGGAAGCCTGGCCCAATCACCGCTCCCCCGCTGACGCCAATTTCTTCCTATTCATACGTTTTGCCTACACGTTCGAACGTCATATCCGGATTCTTGTGTGAGCTGATTTTGTTAGATTTTATAATGACAGGGAACATTTAAATTTACTTAGATTCTGTTTTAACAATGCGAGCCGACGACTGTCGGGTTGAATCCGAGGCGTGTACTTATGTTTACAAGTGACTTTAATTTGGGATCTATACCAACAAGCTGTGATGAAAGATTTTGTACCTACTATGATTTAAAGATGACAAAATTTTTTGAAAATGTGACATTGGGGTAGTCATATGTTTAATATTTTGTCTATATAAAATCTTTTATAACATTTTGAACTAACAGAAAGATAGGTTCAAGTTTAATGAGTGTAACAGCAAAATAGGCTGTATTATTTATCCACAATATATATAACATGTTACGTAGGGTAATATATTTTCATAGTAATTTAATTACGTAATCCTAACTTTACATTTATATGATATATTAGCAATATAAAGGTTGCCTCTAAGTATTAAAGAGAAATGAAGCACAAATACTCACAGTTCATTTAGTTTTGAAATCATATTGTTAAACCATATTTACTTATTTTACTTAGAATATAATATATAACAAATAATATAAAATAAATACCCCATTTCTGTTAATCCATTAACACTTATTTAATTACAGCTTTTTTAGACTTTTTATTAACAATAATTGTGATATATTTTATATAATGATTACGAGGTTTACTATGCTTGTTCACTCTTGATATGTAAGGGAGCTCCGTTCTGTTCAACGGTTGGACAAGAAAAGCCTCCCCACCCGAGTAACAATCTTTTTATATCTACACGGCCGAATTCGAGAAACAAGTCAGCGAAACCACGTGTTTTTACAATTTTATCACTTTTTATTCAAGTATCATGATAATAAATAATTATAAAATGATTTAAAATATAATGTTTTATGGACACTACAAGAATAATTTATTGCAAAATTTGACATAATAAGAATTATAATATTTTAAATCTTTTTAAAGTAGTCAATCTGATTTTTATTAATAAATGTAGGTACACATTTTGACACAAGATGTTTAAGAAGTTTTATATAATAAAAAAAAAAATTAACAAGTGTATAATCGGATAAAAAATATTTCAACAAAGTGGCAAGTTTAATTAATAACACTGATCTTAATATGTATAAAATAATTCCGTGTAGTGTCATGATGTTCATTTATGCTATGTTAATCTTAGAAACTGTTACTCTGATTTTAATGATTTTTGTAAACGTGTAGTGTTTGCTACAACTTGACACATGTTACAATAGTTTTTATTCCGAAAAAGTGGCGCTGTTGATTTTATTATCTGTGCCACTGACTACGTATCTTCTTGTTAATCATGGGTTTCTACCTAGTTTTATAGTTATTTATTATATTTATTCCTTATTGCACAATAAAATTTATACGAGTGGCGAGCTCAATGCTATATTCACTTCCAGCTATTTTTTAATAAAAACAGAAGGCGATTGAGGGGTTGCAGTGTCTTGTGTGTGTATGTATTTTTCAGTTCTTCTTCTCTTGAATTGGTGTGTGATGTCATTTTTCTTTCAATATTATATTTTTCTTTTTCAGCTTTATAAGTGGTAAACACAAAATGTTTTATTAGGACTGCATGGACTACTGGTTTTACTTAACAGTCAAAGAAAATATTTATTCATATTTCTAACAAAACACCTTTTCGACAGAATAAATTTATAGAACAATAGAGCAGGACCGCGTCTTTATGTCAGGCATACTCAACTTGCGGCCATCTAATTATAAAATAGATACGAAGTATCTTTAGGGCGCGTTGAGAATCCAATTCGACATACCGTGACATGTTTGACTAGATTTAAATTTCTTCTGAATCTGATAAGAACATATGCCTGTTTTTGTGTGTGCAAACCTTTGCCAAGGTTCAACTACCAACCAGGGAAGCAGATGAGATATGTAGGATTTCTATCCATTAAAAACACAGCTTGAAGCACCATTTATCAAAGCAATGGGATTGCATCAATTATGACTTTGGCTTGAATAGCAATGGTCTAGGTTATGAGCTCCTCTTTAGACTATAAATTGATTTTAGGTAATCCTGCAGGCGAGTCGGGGGATATTAGTAACGGGAATTAGTAACCCTATTACTAACAATATACCCTATCAGGTCGATCTCCTCGCGTTTCCCCCCGAAAAACCATAATAAAAACCATAGTAATTGGTTCATTGTTGAATTTGTTACGATGGGCTAACTGACCTGCTTCATCTTCACTTATCATTCCTCACTGGTGCCCCATCAGTGTTTAATGATAGCGCAGGCGGCGTTACCGTTCCATTATCATTCATTAAAAAACCCTGCAGGCGAACACCCTAGTCTTAGTATGGGATAATGGAGAAGGGGCCTAGATCCAGTGTAGTATTTATAAAATTTATATTTTTTCATCAAATCCTAAAAAATGGGTATAAATTAATTATATATATTAAGCCCTTCACATTTTTCTGACTCGTAGCAGGTATGTACTACATAATTTTTGTCCTAAGAGAAGTCTTATGTCCTACTATTTGTGTCCTTTCTTACTATATTTGTGTAGGTATAAGTATAAACACCCTTGCATTATGTATGTGCATTCAAATAATATGTATGGGTGTTTGATTGCGACCCACAGTTTTGTAATTGCGACCCAGTCAATGAATGCCTTGGTTAAGGCTTGTTTTACACTGTTCTACAATAATGGCTGTTGAAATCCGTAATTTCTTTGATTTCAGTCTATTGTGAGCCTGATAAAGGCGACACTTTTCAGTCGCTCCCGTCTGAATGAATACACCCATTATACCGACACAAAAGTGGATATTACAAACAAAAACATCATTGCCACCGTTATTACGTCCCGTAAAAACAATTTGAAGTATACTCCTATTATGATTCAGAACAATGTATAAAATATTTTATAAAAAATAATTCGAAATTGAAGTTGTATGGTAACAAAATTATAATCTGGGTTTAAGAACCTACAACAGAGGAGAAAGATTCTTAGAGTGGCAACCCCATACAGGCAAACGTGTTGCATGACCTGCCCATATAGAGTGACAATCTCAAATGTATTGCAGAGAGTTTTTTTTTATACCACTGAGATGGCAAACAAGCATACGGCCCACCTGATGTTAAGTGGTTACCGTAGCCTATGAACGCCTGCAATACCAGAGCTATTACGCGCGAGTTGCCGACCATGAAGAAACCTTTTTACCCTCCTTTTGAAGAACCCTATGCTGTAGTCTCTTGGGAAAACCTCGGCAGGGAGCTCATTCCATAACCTGAGTGTTCGTGGGAGAAAACATCTCTGAAACCGCGTTGTACGGAACCATTTTGGCTGTAGGGTATGAGGGTGAACTCTCTGTCGATGGCGAGCCGTACGATGATAGAAAGTTAGTGAATATAGGGGTTTGGGATTGTTCCTTGGCAACGAACATGGCATGGCAAACTATGGGGTAGGTTTATGTAGAGGTGCGTAATATAATATATAGCAATATCTATATATTTTAGTTATAACTATATACTGGTCCAATGACAAATATATTGAAAGTCTGTTATTCAAAAAATTATATTGGATAAGATATTAAAAAATAGATATCCGATCAATATGGTTGATATTGAAATTTTTTTTATACAACTTAGAATGGCAAACAAGCTGACGGTCCACCTGATGGAAAGTGGTAACCGTCGCCTATAGACATGAGCAGTACCATGGACATAACGAGAGTATACTGATGTACATTTAACGAAAATGTATAGAGACGAATAATTGATGCGACCATTCGATTGTCCTGACGAAACATTAGTACAAATAAAAAATTAATTAATTTATTATATATTTCAATTTATATTTACGTTCCTTTTAAAACATCATCAGATCCTAAACTGAGGTCACCCCCTTCCTTTTCCGTCGTAAGAGGCGACTAATTGAACTGAACGGTATAGGGATGGGCAGCAGCGTCTCTCTTAAAACATCTCTAAAAGTCTAACTGCAGTTGCCAACCTTCCTGCCAAGCATAGCAACTACTGGCAAACGCCCTCTTATGGGGGAGGCTATGTTCAACACTGAACAGTTAACGGCTGATCCAAAAAAATTGTCAC